CCTGAAATGTAACATAAAGAAGGAGAGAAGGAATGATTTGCGCGAAAATAATAAAATAATAATATTATTATTGTTAAATCTTAAACCAGCGGAGGAATTTGCTGGTAAAAAAAAAAAAACACCAGGGGAGGAAGAAAGGAACATCGGCAAAGGTAAAGCTAGACATTAATTTTATGATGATTATACTCAATAAATTGATCTTGTAGTTTGATTATCTTTATGTCCTCGCCTAATCAATTTTCAATCTACCAATAAGCAGTTTTTTTTTTAAATTACCCTTATCGTGTTCTTATTGGAATTCTGGTTTTATTAGATTAATGTGAGTATTGGACAATGTATAATTGTATATAGTCTAATAAACATGATATTTTTATTCATCTCTTATTCTCTTACCAAAAAAAAACATATAATGCAAATAGGAGTACAAGGTCTAAACCCTTGTTTGGATTGAGAGAAAATTAGAGAGGAAAGAAAATTAGAAAGAAAAAAAATGGGAAGAAACAAGTTTTGAAAGAAAATGTGGAAAAGAAAATAAGATGGATCCCATGCTTTATTTTTTCTCTGAATTTTCTCTTCATATATGAAGAGATTTAGGAAGGAAAACAAAATTTCTATGATTACCCTTCCTCTCTCTTCCTTTTTATATTTATTTTCTTTTATTATATTTAAAAAGTTATTCACTTTTTATTTTTTTATCTTAAAACAATGTTTTTATTAAATAATTTGGTTGTAAAACATAAGAATCTGAAAAATATATAAATCAAATAACTTGATTTTAAATTATTTGATTATGCTAATGTTAGTATAATTTTTCTATTGCAATATTCATTTTAATTTAATTTCAAATATGATATATTTTGATAAGGACATTTTAGTCATTTAGATATTTACTAATTTTCTTTCTTCTCTATTTTCTCTCATTCATCCAAACAAAAAAGATGATGACAACTTTCCTTCAGTTTTTCCTTCTCTCTATTTTCTCTCGTTTTATTTTTTTTCTCAACTTTTCTTTCCATCCAAACAGAGCATAAGAGTTGCAGACTAAAAATCATACTTACAAAAACTATGTGGAGGTCTTGATAATGCAACTTTTGATCACTCTTGACGTAGAAAGAAGCACAAAAAAAATAATTTTTTTAATTTCAAATCTAATATGTATCATATTTTTTGTTAAATGCGCTCAATACTCCGAATTATTTTCTCAGATACATCCAGTGTCCTAAAATAATACAATTTCACCCCTGAAGTTAATAAAATGGTGCAACATTATCCATATCTAATAGAACTGGTAGTTTGAATGTTAAAATGCTAAGTCAGCACAGTTTGACAAAAAAAATCATATTTGGCATATGACGGACAAGTCTGACATGGAAAAAAAAAAAACTTTAGTTGGCATAATTTTTCAAAAGAGCTTTTAACCATGAAAAATTTTAACCATGAAAAAAAAAACAAAGGTTACAATTCTTTACAAACGAAAAGTAATGGGTGGCCAACCAAACTCATCCTCATTGGTCTGCAAGCAAATTAAAGAATGTGTTCATCCTTGGCCACAAAAGGCATCGATACTTTGTGAAGAGAAAACCCAAATATTCAAGAGCAAATGGCAAATTCTGATACTCCTAATCAATTTTCTTTTCTTCTAGCGGAATCAGATTTTGAGAAACATAAATCAAAATATAGATACGAGGAACCATAAATCAATCAATATTTGGAAGATCCATACCATAAATTAGCTTCCCAAAGTTTGAATAAATTAAATAAGTAAACCTTCAAGATGATCAAATTAGGGCTCAAAGATAAGCAAATCTCAAGGGACTCCTCTTCAATCTATATCAATTTTAACTTCAATTTGCAATAACGTCGATCTCTTCCCGTCCTTTGTTCAAGAAACACACAACGTCGTCTTCATTCTCCCTCTGTTTGTGTTACTACTACCTTGTTTTCTGCTGCTTCTGCTTTTGGTGCTTCGTACCTCACCAGATCTGATGCCCATCCGCCGACTTGGACTAAAGGGATTATGGATGCCCTGAAGAAAACTCAAATCTAGCAGCAATTATCGATTTCTACAGTGGCTGCGGCGAGCCCGCAAAAGAACAAATCCCAGAATCGCAACTCCTCCCACTTGCCTTTTCCAACTCTCCTTCAAATCTTCCCTTCTTCTTCTTCAATCTCAGTCGAATACAAGGGTGCACATGCGATTTCGGGAAGCCTGAAGACTTCTGTTGCGTTTTTTTGTCAAAAACTTTTTAAAATATTACATAAATTTCATGTCATATGCCAAAATAGATTTTTTTTGGGGTCAAACTTTGTTGATTCAGTATTTTAACGGTCAAACTAACAATTCTGTTAAACATGAATTAGACTGCACCATTTTAATAACTTTAGGGGGAAATTGCACAACTCATTACTTTAAGATACTGGATGTGTCTGAAAAAATAGTTTGAGGTGTTGAGCGTACCTTAACTCTTTTTTTTTGCTAGAATATGTATCATATTTATCACCTACTTAACAATAATAATTATTTTATTATTATTTTCTTATCTAAAAACATTGGAGATATTTTCATTTATAAAAGGGATAATTAATCCACAGCTCCTTATAGTTTTAATTAATTTTGATTCAGGTCTTTATAGTTTTTTTTTCTTTTTATCAGGTCCTTATACTTTCACCTGTTTTTAATTAGGTCCTTGTATTTATTTTTCTTTTTATCAAGTCCTTATAAGTTCACCTTATTTTTAATTAAGTCTCTGAATTTTTTATTCTTTATTTTATAAATTCTAATAGTACTATTATATAAACATAAAATAGTACATATTATTTAATATTAGTTTATAAACAATAATATTCTAAAGATATTGAATTATTATAATGATTTTAATTTTTTCAGCAAAAAAATTAATTGTTCTAAAAAAATTTCCTGAATTAATTAATTCTATTACTTTTTTATTACATAATTATTAATTTAATTTAATTATTAATATTTTATGTTTCAGTATTAATCTATTTAATTAAGCTTATATTTAATTAATAAATAAAAATTAAAACTACATGGACCTGATTAAGAATTTAGTGAAATTATAAGGATTTAATTAAAAGAAAAATAAATATAAGGACTTAATTAAAAAAAGGTAAAAGTATAAGGACCTGATAAAAAGAAAAAAAACTATAGAGACTTGATTCAAAATTCGTTGAAATTATAAAGACTTGCGGATTAATTAACCCTTTATAAAATTATTTTTTACTTAATATATTTTGTTTGTTGTTGCGTATCCAGTGACCCAATTCACTTGAAAAGATTCTCTGAAACTATTAAGAAGAAATCGACAGTTACAATTTTAAATATTCTAGCCTCATAATCTCGATACTGGCCACAAGTGTATCCACATTCTACGTACATACATAAATAAAATATAAAATTTATTCTAAGTAACTGCATTACTCGCAATCTCACCACAAATTTGACCAAAAATATGGTCTCGCAATCAAATTATATGAAGCTTTTATTGAGAAGGAGTGTACCAGTTTAGTAGTGATACTGATGCAAAGTGGGCTACGCCTTGTGGGGTGTTCTTGTAGCTTCGTCAAAAATAAGGGCTGTTGTTCAATGACAATGACTCTGGCTTTCTCGTCGCTTCCACAAGCTACTTAATTGACTTTTCATATGAAACCAGATCAGTTACTGTATAAATCATCTTATCATAATATATTCCTTTGTTTCAGACTCCTTATTTTCTTTTCTTTTTCTGGACCACATTGATCAAACTTCTGACGGAAGTAGTATCAGATAAACTCCAAAAGCCCTCACCCATTGCCCAGATTAGTGCTGTTCTGTTTCAGTTTAAGGAACAAACAAGTGCAAGTTCCAGTTAATTCTGGCCTACAACTGAATTAACTTGCAGCAAAGGAGTTATATTAAGTAATAACAATTGCTCAGTAGTACTATAGAATGCGAAAGAGATACAGTCATAAGTACTGATATCACCATGTTGTATTTAAGATGAGCAAAAATCAGACATGGCTGACACAAACTTGTTTGTGCTTGGCTCACACTACAACTTTCTTTAAATTCAATCTGGAAGGATCAGCAAAGCGAGCAGAGAAAGATCTAGACAAATTGTCTGGTTCATCCAGCGCTGAGCCCTGATCAAAGTTCTGCGAGTAAGTGTGCGGATCATAATAAGGGATATGCAGCGCTGTTGCAGAAGACTGAAGCAGCCTCTTTTTCTCCTTCTTAAACTTCATCCACAGCATCCTCCACTTCATCTTGCCCGACGAGCCACATCTTCCCAACTGGACGGTTCTGCTGTCTGAACTGCACCAGTTTCTGATATCCATGGCTGAAACACCACAAAGCTCTTAATTGTTTGGGATATATACCGGTGGGAATACCAAACGGTTTGGATATTGGACTCGAGGTATATATATTATTATGTTGCCCTTGTTATGTGGATCGCACTAAGTTCAGCTTAAAACGGAAGCACGTGAGCACGTGATAGCCTGCAGTTCGTAGCCAATTTGCCATGTGGGAGTTGATACGGTTTGAAATTTTTCTTATTTAGATAAGCCTGCCTACCTGTTTTGTTTTTTGGTGATTGGAGGTGGGTATCAATTATTAAGGACGCTTATTAGATTCCGTTACGCCTTTGCACTTTTCTACGAGCCAGCGTTCAATATTCAACATTCCGCACTTCCTCTGATAAAGAAGTCTGAGAAAGAGCCATTTACCTATACTTGGTTTGTTTGTTTTGCTAATAACAGTGTGAACTGGTTTAAAAGATGCTTATGAGCAAAGCCCTTTGTGTGTAAAAATGCATTGCATTCAAACCCGTAGTGTGGCTTATTCCGAACTGATCTTTTTTTTCCCCCCAGTGGTGTCTTACTTTTGCAGGTTCTCTTTTTATGCCATCTTGCAGAAAGAAAAAGCGTGTCATGGAGAATTTAAAAAAGCAAACCGCGTCTGAAAGGAATCAGTACCAAAGGAAGAAAAGAGAGAAGAAAGAGAGATTCAAGGTAGGGACAGGAATATCATTCATACTGAAAAGCAAAGCAGGATTGAGCATCTCTGATCAAGAAAGAATCATAAATAATGTCATCGGTAGTTTACATGGGAGAGAAAATACAAAGGGGAAAAAAGAAAGGAAAAATGAAATCAATGAAACAAGTAGGTAATAGCCAGAGCGACCAGCATGAGAAGATAAGCTACTCCTTGATCAATGGTAGTGCCTGCATTAGAACCAGTAAATAAGAAAGGAACTAAAATGAGTCTATATATATAAAGAGAGAGAGTGAGTGAGTAGGAAGATGAAACGCAATTAGAGAGAATACAGACCGTCACTGGTAGGAGGAGGAGCAGGAGAAGGAGAAAGATGGAGGGCTTGAGCGAGGTGGGAGAGTGAGAAGGGGAACAAAGTGAGAAAAGGGAAGGCAAGCATTCCAGAGTTGGTCATGTTTGAAACACAGAGAGAAACAGAGAAGAGGGAGGGATGATATATTTATAGGAGGAGGGAAGAGGGAATCAGAATAAGAGGTACAAAAAGAGTATGAGAAAACACAAGTTTATTTGTGTTGCAAGGTACGCGTCTTGCGTTTTCCACTCTGTATCCACACGCTGATTCTCTGAGCAAACAGTGCACACCAGTTTGCTTTTATACTCATTTAAAACTTCTACTACTACAATTAAGTCCACCTGCCTAATCATCAACATTCAACCCCCACATATCATATAAAATTTATAAGAAATCACATTATAAATCAAACGTAGATCTTAGGCCAATCTAATTTCTCCTTAAATTATGTGTTCCTATAATTCAAGATCCAACTGAATCACATGGTAATATAGTATACATATATCCTGGACGTTTTTATTGTCAAATCAGAAGAAAACCAGAACATGTGAAACTAACCTGAAAGGTCAAAGAAGCTATTAATATAGCAGGGTAGCAGGAATAAAATGACAATAATTGCTCATACAAAACAGAGGAGGCAAGCAGAAAACCAGTACGGTGACTACTAATTGGGACAGTAGGAATGGTAATCACCATGTTGTGTTTAGGATGAATAAAAACCAGACATCGTAGGCTTCAATAATTTCCGGAAGCTTTGGCTCACACTACCATTTTCCTTATATATATACACACGCCTCATGCACAGTCATTTCCACTTCAACCTGCTCCATCCTTTTCTGCCTCGGGCCCACCTTCAGATTTCTTGCATTTGAGCTTCACCAGTTGAGTGGGGTTAACGGAATCAGATCCCATCTTCAATAATATCTTACTTCTCCAGGTTCACTTTTTATCCCCTCTGTTTGCCCTCTTTATCGGTCTTAATTTATATGTTTTATAACAGACTAATCAATAGTTAGTTAAAAAAATTTAGAATTGATTGTCAAAATTACAAGAGTGAAGATCTAAATAACCAAGAAATTCATTTTTTAGGGACAACTTCAAGAGATTATCCCTGCAGGATCACAAGCCATTATTGCTTAATAATAATATTTCATTGCAGTCTGGAATATTTTCTTGACCAATTTCCATGCTTTGAAAGCTAGAGAAGCTTGAATTTGAGACCCGTGAAAGAGAATCTGTAATGACAGAATGGCAGTAGCTAGCTATATATATCAGAATTGAAAAACTGGTTCTGAAAATGACCATTACAGATGCGAGAGTTTCATTATTATAGCACTGGACAGACAAGTAGCAGAGCTTAATTTGATGAGAACGAAAGACACTGCTATTTCTTTACTGTAAGAACCATAAGAACCAGTAAAGAGACAAACATAGAGTTGGAGTTAACCATGTTTCGTACCCCAACCTGATCCAATCGTCACTGGCCCAGGACATGCCACGTACAAAATGTTTAGTATTAGAAGCCACCAAATACTCCCACGCGGCACATCTCCTTTACGGATGGCTCCAAATTTTGGTTTGAAGCTGGGCTTAGCCTTGCACGCCTTCTAAACAAACTTGTCTCTTGGCGAATCTATCTACAGCCCACACAGCCATACCTTTGTATCTTTTGATCTTCCTCTACTATATGCCGTCATAACCCCATATTCTCCCCTTGTTTTGTTTTAAACACTCAAAACCCAGCGTTACGTATCCACGCAAATATCAGTCACAAAATCTGAAGCAGCAGAAGAAAAGACGAAGAAGAATGTGTCAACCTCCGGCTCCTTTTGTTGGCAGGAAAGGACTAACCGGGCATGCAAGGTGGGTCGTTGTGCAGGAACCAGTGGCGGTGGTTGATCCTGTGAGAGTGGAGAGTGGTGGTGGTGCCGGAGAAGAATGCGGTGGGGCCGGCGAGGGTGGTACAATGAGGCGCTGTGTGTGCTCGCCGTCGCGGCATCCGGGGTCGTTCCGGTGTCGCCAACATCACGCCGAGTACGTGTGGCCTTGCCGGAGAATCGTCACCTAGACTCCTCGAGGCTGTCCAGGGAAAAAATGAAAAAGATGTCACACGTGGTATCTGACAGTGGTTTGCATGCACGTTAGTACATATCTTCCCTTAAATTGTGAGCATACCTACGATTTTACTATTAGAATATAATTTTTGGAGATTTCTTGGTAATATCCTTTTTTTTTTTCAATATGATCAGACACTTGTTTCTTCATTAGGAGAAACTACTAGTGAACGCAAAAAAATATTAGTGTGTCCCGTACCTAATATAAAAACTAATCAAGAGGCTAAATTTCATCATAAATATAAAATTTTAATTATTTTATCTTTTATATTTAGTATTTTTAAAAAAATTAATTTATCAGATAGAAATATTTCAAAAAAGATTTTAAAAAATTATATTATATTTATTATAATTAACTAATTCATTTTGAGGGAAACCGGTTGAATGAGTTGGGCCACAGAATGTTGGTACTTTCTAGTTATTAGTAGCAGCCATTAAAGGGAGATGAAAGGTGATAGTTACGTTGGGGAAAGTAATGGTCACAGCATATTATAGAGATGAAACTGGTCACTTGGATTTGTGCCATCTTAGCTTCTACCTCCACCCAACGCATTTGGCACACTTCTTATACCACACTGATTCCCCCACCACCATCTTGACGTTTAATTTTCAGTTCACAGATTCTGTCTATTTAACTAGTTTATTAATTCCCATTTTTATTTGAAGGTGGTGAAATTAAGGAATAAAACAGCTAAAATTTTACTGAAACGAAAAAAATTGTGTGGAAATAGATCGGCTTCAGTGTCTTTATCATGGGTCACACTGGTTTTGACCTCAATGATTATCTTCATCATCTTAAATTGCGATTTCTGTTTACAAATTGTACGCCCGCAAATCTCAGGCCACTCAAAACCCATCCACAACTGTTTGGATATTGTGCAGTCAAAATTGGTGAACAGAGCCATAGGTCCTCTAACAATAACCAACTTTTTAATCTCACTTTATATGAACATTTGCACGTATGTATGTATGCTTTCTATTCATGCACGTAAAGATTAACACATGACTAGGGTCTGATATTTGTTGAATATATATATATATATTAATCATCCATAGAGGTTTAAATTTGATAATTAGAGTCATAATGATCGCTAGCTATTTTGGGGCATGACAATGATGTTTTGAGATATTCCACAACTGCAAGAAATTAAGAGAAGGAAGGAGAAGATTCAGAGCAAGAGAGGAAGGCAGAGGATGAACAGGCAAATTTAATACATAAGTATAACGGATCGATTACTCATTATAATCCAGTCTAGACCCAAGCATCATGTACACACACAGCTTTCTTGATGGAAATTAGAAATCACAACCCACAAAAAGAAAAAGAAATCAACAGAGACTGGAAAGAAGGGCTCATCAGAAGAAAATAACAACCAAAAGCCAGAGACTGATGAGAGAAGAGAGGCCTGCAGAGAGAAGCAGAGTCATGTGGTCTAAGTATTATGAGCATCAGCAGCGGCAGCAGGAAGAATGGAGTTCTGTCGTTTCATGGAAGATGAGCGATGGAAACGACATCGGAAAGAGCCCGGGTGCTTCGTTGGAGAACACAAGCACTGCCCTTTCGGTGACGGCGTCCCTGCTCCTCCGCCGCTACCGTTGTCGCTTTTTGGCGATGACACTGAAACTGAAACTCGATGCTTGCCACTCTCGCCCTCTGATTTTTGTGAAGCCATTGAACCCGCTCCTACCCAAAGGGAAAAAGAATATATATCAATTGATGGTTCACAAATCCTAGACCCCAGCTTGGGGTTTACATATGAGCATTGGAGATTGGACTTTTTTATAGTGGGGCTGTGATTTCCAGAATATTGAAGCTTCTTATTCATTTTATGTGGTCAATAATAATTCATTTATTTAGCATTCTAGAAAGATACTTTTTTAATATAATTTTAAAAATATCATATATCATAATATTTTTTAAAATAGATTTTCATATATGCATATCACGAAAGAGTTTTTTTGGAGAATGATATCACGAGAGAATTTCATGATGATGTCATTCATATATCCAAAAGACAAAGATCCATATCTACGTTTTTTTTTTTGGCCAGAAGATCAATATATCTACTTGGGATAATATAACAGGTGCGTAAACTTTGTTTGCCAAGTAATTTGTATGATACATGTATCATATTCGTACTGCGTGGGTGCAATTCATGTACTGTGCACCTAATTAATAAGTAATAGATGAATTTAATTATCTTGTAAACATGATGACTACCGCATGAAATATGAAAGGGAAAAGGAATTATCCTTTTCTCTCTCTTATTAATTAATTATTTTTCTTGGTTTGTTTTAATTTTTTTACCAGAATTTTTCTCGCTTTGTTTTATTCCTTTTATTTTAAATAGTTTTGTAGTGTATCAACCCACCAAAACTGTGTCGGTAAAAGGAGTTAGTAGCGCACTAAATGGTAAATCAAAGTTGAAATCCTGCACACAAGAAAACTACTTACACTTAGGTGAAAATGTAAACTAAAAGTGAAATTCTGAGATTAAATTAGCATAGAAGTGGGTAAAAAAGATTCGGAAATCCAAAAGCAAGTCTCAGCTGTCAGAATATAATTTGCATTGTGGAATTAATAAATGGTAAATTCTGTGGTAACAAGAAGTGCTTCCTCTATTTGAGCATGCAAGTCAATTCGCTTTTAAATTCGCACAAATTTGGACAAATATTCATTAAATTTTGGACATCAAAGTATCAAACTATCAGTGGTTGCTTCAGTGGCATGTACAGGCCGCGCGGAGTTTACGAACCACGTTGACTAATCGGTGTCCTTTGGATATTTCCACGTTGCAACGCACTACTTCTGAAACCAAAACGGAGATATCACAGCAAACCACATTACGAGTGGATAAGAACAGAGTCGTTTGTGAAAGCAAAAGTCGTTCCATTCATTTGCAGAGAGTGTTCTTGAACTTGCCATGTTATTATATGGCTCTTTCTGCAAATCAAATCGTCATGTTAATATATAGAGATCCCATATTTTGAGCTAAGAACATGTCTCTGTCCCAGTTGTCTTATTAAAAGGTTAGTCTGAACAAATATATTACCCACACATTCATATATATGATACAGCTAAAGCGGACCTACCAGTCCAACGGAATAAACTACCAGTCTTCTCTGGTCCTAAAAAGAAAAACCCTTGTTTCTTTTTCTGGTGTCGGCATATTCATTGCCATCTCTTGCTTCTCATTTCAATATGGAAAAAACTTTCTCGAGAACGCCCAACACTTGATTTTCTTAATCCCTTTGATTAGCTATGTCGAGGCCAGGAAACAAGGGTCCCCAAGCCAAACTGGTGGGTATGTCTTCCCCTTTCAATTTTATTTCCCCATTTGATAACGAACGATTCATAACGTGTTGTTACTGGGGAAATGATAAGATTAGAGAAGCAATGAAATGAACTTTTCCATTAATTACTGTTGGGCATACATGTATTCCCCTTTCGATTTGATTATATGACAGAAACAGATGTTTAACGCTGTTCGATCATCACCTATAATATATTGATCTGGTAGGTTATTCTTGGGGACATGGGAGCAGGGAAGACAAGTTTGGTGCTAAGGTTTGTGAAAGGCCATTTTAATGAGTACCAGGTTGGTGTTGTTAATAATGTCTTTCATTTTCTGACTTTCTTTCGGCCTTCATAGTGGATTTTGCCTTCAATTAAAAGTGATTTGGTGCAGGAATCAACAATTGGGGCAGCATTCTTCACACAAGTACTGTCACTAAACGAGGGGACAATAAGATTAGATATATGGGACACAGCAGGGCAGGAGAGATACCACAGTTTGGCTCCTATGTATTATCGCGGTGCCGCTTCTGCTATTGTGGTCTATGACATCACGAACAAGGTACATATATTCATGGGACTTCCTTACCATTATTTCTTTCCTTCACTTTTCTTGCCATTTTTCTTTCTGATATTTGCTCATGCTGTGACTCATTGTGCAAGTTCTGAACTAGAAGCAGTGGTCTTCCATGCCCATGTGACCAAGTTGTTTGTGTTTTGATTTAGGATTCCTTTGTGAGAGCCAAAAAGTGGGTTCAGGAAGTACAAAAACAGGGTAAGATATATCCGATACAGATTCACCATTTGTTCATTCCACTGGATGCAAAAAGAATTATGATTTATGGAATTTCGTGATCAAGCTCAGAATCAAATCTCAATGTTCAGAAGTACGAATTGCATTCAAGTGATTAAAAACTGTATAGAATAAAATTCTCTGTACTCCATCCCTACACTCAGGCAAAATTTTGTTCTTCAAGATAATTATGATAAAGAATGTGTTAAGATTAATGTGCTCCTAATTTGATGTATAGTATGCTGTTTTCATCAGGAAAACCGGGTATGGTTATGTTTTTGGTAGCTAATAAGGTTGATTTGGCAGCCAAAAGAGCGGTAGGAAATGAGGTAGTTCTAATGCATTCTTCCAACTTCATCAATTTCTTGTGTCACTGATGTTTCAAATGATCAAAACTGAATAAATTGATGCAGGAAGCAGAGCAATATGCCAGAGAAAACGGCTTGTTCTTCATGGAAACTTCAGCAAAAACTGCAGAAAATGTTAACGAGCTCTTTTATGACATAGGTGAATACTTTTCAATTCCCTTCTCTAGTTATTATAGATAGCCACATGCAAAATCTCGTGAATCCTAATAATTAAGCCAATGACCGATTTTTAATCTACTTATGTTTATTAAAGAAACACAAATTTTTGTTTTGGCAGCTAAGATGTTGGCTAGAGCGAACCCTTCCCGTCAAGCTGGAATCGAGCTGCACAGCAGTGCCCAAGAAAGTAGAACATTGCCTTGTTGCTTTTCATGAATTCTTCACTTGATATATGATTTGATCTTCTTCTGAAATCCTGTTATGTTGTGTTTTTGGGTGGTGCTTCTCCCTACTTGTTCAGAGAGAAAGAAACAAAGATTTCATGCAATAATAGCTTTGCTTTTCGAGTAGGCTCCTCTCTGTAAATATATACAGTAGTTTCCAATGAGATGAGGATTTGCTGCCCACAACACTCAAATAGGAAGAGCACTCTATCTGGGGACAATGTCTTCAATTCACATTTTAAGACATCAACAAAACATATACCATAATAATTCAGGAAAATAGGCGCTTCGTAAACCATTAATTGTGTGACATACGGGGATCGAAAAATGGTCCCATACATAAAATCTTAAATGAGAACAGACTCACAGAGACATCAAAGACGTTACTTTCGTCAATGTTACAAGTCAGAGGCGCCACACAATTATCTCCTCAACGCACAGAACCAGATATTTGACCGAATTTGCTTGTATCTCAAACTCCCAAGTCGTTGCTATCATCCTTTCATCAAATGGAGTATTAAAAAGACAGAAGAAATTGAAATACGATGAAGGGTCTTCGCAGTCTCTGTCGATTATATTCTTACAAGAATGGGACTTCCTTTGTGGTATATATTATAATAAATTAGACTGAACATGACATGCAGAGTCAATGCAGTGAACGTCTGGAAAAACTGGAGCCCGGTGGCTAATGGAGTTACTGTAGAACAACTGGGGTTCATCCTCATCGAAATGGACAAAGCTGACGCCTTCTTTTTTCACTAGTTTATAGCCTTCAATGCATTGGAATCATTACTCGAGGTCCCTCCAAAAACAGATACAGTATTTTAATTGAAACTGACTAGCATCAGCCAGGTGATGTAAATGCACGGAAAATTATTTAAAAATTGCATTTAATTTCATAAAAACAATCACATTTAAGTATTCTTTTTTTAGTTGATATATATAAAGATTTCTGAACGACAAGAACAGATTTTAGAATTTTCTTTTAAGCCACCTTGGAAATTCAGGTGCACTCTCCCAAGTTTTACGATCTTTATGGACCTTATCCCCAAAAACACAGAGACTCAGACAAGAGGAGAAATAGAGTAAATCGTTATGACTAGAGCTACTGGGAAAGCAACAACTTCACAAAAAACCAAGTACAAGCTATGTGAAAACTAAACTAATATGCATTTCCCTAAGGTAACTACTCCAGAAAGGAACGGAAAGCGAGGTGAAGATTGAGCAGGCACAGGCGTGACTTAGATGAATGTGCCAGGGCCATGGCCTGCCTGCAAAAATAGGTACTCCCAGCTTTCTCCCTTAGCTTTGCCCAATGCTGCTATTACTTTTGATCTTACCAATAATAACCAGAATTCCCAGATTCACTGGACTACTAAAAAAACAAAAAGACTGGATGCGTCACTGCTGAATCACCATGAAGGAGAAGTACAAGGGGAGGCTGAGGATGATGATGAGGGGCCATTGATGCTGTGGGAATCACTGCCTGAAGTGCCGAATGACCTGCCATTGCTAAGAGAAACCGAGCAAGCCTGTGCAGGGAGCTTCTTCATCGGAGATAGAGGAGGCGAACCAGATATCTCAGCTTCAACCTCATCATCATCGCCGGAGGATCCACTTCTTTCCAAACGAGAAGGTGAAGTGTCGGGCGTTTCAAACGAAGTATCCGCCCCACTGCTACACTTGCCTTCCTCGTTTTCGTAAATGGGATTCGAAATATACACAAGGTGTTCCCCGCCGCTGTTAGGATTGTCAGAACAAACAGGAATGGTTCCACTGATGATGCTACATTGCTCAGGGACCTGTTGGGTTGGCTTTGGGGGAGCCTTATCAGGCATGAAGGGTGCAGGTGGGGAAAAAGCAGAGACAAGTCCAATCTGATGGTATGGCTGTGAAACTGGTTGTTGGGTTTGCTGGATTTGAAGAAGCTCAGAATGATGCAACTTTGGTCCGGCCTTGTCGTCGTTGTGAGCAAGTGAAGGAAACAGAAAATTTCTTGGAGCTTGGAGAACACCATGTGCATAAATGCTACCAAAGGGTGGTGGAGGAGGAGATTGGTGTTGAGGGTAACGGGCTGCTGAAGGTGGCGATGATGATGATGATGACGCATCGGTTCTGGTGGCGGTGGGAATGGAAGGGGACGCGGTGTTTCTGAGGTGGCGGCGGCGGCGGAGTAAGAGAGAACAGTAGAGCTCAGCAAGGAGAACTAGGATGAGGCCAAGAACGACGGCAAGGCTGACCACCATGACCAATGTAGCACCCATGATCACTTTTGATGTGCCCTTCATCTTTCTGGAGCCCTGCTTCTGGCCTCTGCCTTTTATCTGGCAGGCAGTAAAAAAGAGTTGCAGTAATTATATATGCGAGAGGAGTGAGAACTGAGATTCCATTTTTGGCGGGAAGCATTATTATATCATGCTGGCCAAAATAAAATTACATTGTGAGCCACGCTATTCAAGTTGTATTCTTTCATGAGCACATCACTAACGGAATGGTGAATTGGTGATCCATGATATTCAAATAATGAAAAAAAAAACACTCCCTCTAGTCTTATTTATAAGTTTTAAATTTTAAAAAAGATATGGTCTATTTTATAAGTTTTAATTTGGATTTGTTTTAACATTTAATGTATTTTTTTTTAATGTTGCCCTTAATTATTTTGTTTCTTATCATATTTTTTTTATACATTCTCTTTTATCCTTTTATCATTTATTATAAGATCTTTTAAAAACAAAAATATATTTCTAACATATTTATTATTTTTAACTAATTTTAACTAATTGTTTCTTATCTATGAATTAGTTATTTAAAACTTATAATAAAAACCGAAAGGAGTAATGTTTTAAATACTTTGGTAAATTGAAAAACTTAAAAAAAATACTATTATTGTGAGCACTTACAGTTTCGTCCAAATTTAATTTTAGTTTTTTATTTTCAAATCATAATTTTTAGTTTTTATAGTTTCATAGGGATTTAGTTTAAACTTTGAATTTAATTCACCTTAATTTTTAGTCAACATTATTAAATATAAAGATAAAATATATATTTGGTTTTTTAATTTTATATAAGCTTTTAATTTGGTTCTTTAACTTAAAAAAATATATTTTTAAGTTTTTGACTATAAAGGTTAAATGACTAGAAGTATATCTTTTGAAATTAAGGGGTTAAATTAAAACTCTATATAAAATTAAAAGACTAAATATATAATTTAACTTAAATATAAATATCAACATTAAAACTTCTTAAAAGTCCAGTAATTAAAATTAAGATTAGTAAGAACCAGATAAATTTTGTCAAAGGGGACAAGCTATAGAGTACAATGAGCACCAAACTTTGTGGCAGCATAAAAATGCGAACACTTGCATAGACCCAACGTCTGAATGGTCTCGGGTCACAGCGTCACGCGGCCTTCGAGTTGGCGCTAGCTTCATACTACCTCTAATTCTTAATATAATATTTTATTTGATTTTTATTTTTGTCTTTGATAAGACTTTAATATATTTTATTTATCATATTTATTTTTTTTAAGATAGTCCTTCTAATAATAGTAGTTCCAGCCAATATATTTGATTAACAGGGATATTTTAAGAAAGACAACATCTATTTATTACAAATAACTAATTTAACTTATTTTTTAATATTATCAAATCAGTTAACTAGCTCTTATAATTAGGACCCGAGATAGTATTATAGAATCAGTCTCTGTGAATGGCAAATAGGACAAGGACTACAAGTGAAAATGTTAGACAAACATGATTGAATTGAAATGAGTTTTCACTTTTGGGGTGAAAACAAAATTTTTTAAATTTGGATGGTTTAATAGCAAACTCAACTTTTTTAGGTTTTCTTCATCTTTCTCCTCGTAGAAAGCTGAGGCACTGTAAGGACTAACGAAGTCCTGCAAAAATCGCGTGAAAAACTGGGAGAAGGGAGAGAAAGGAAAAGGCTTGATATTTTTCCTAAAACCCTTCACATAAAGACAAACCCCTTCAGAGAAATTTCTCAACCTTTCAAAAGCTTCAAGTGGGCGGTCTTACTTCTATGAAACTCCAAGACTGAGGAATTCAATGGAGTTCAAAGTGCTGTTTACGGCGATATAAACCGATTAATAAAGTAAAGGTAAGTGTGCACATCATTTTGATAGTGGGAAAAACAACTTATTTTCTGAGAACCCTTGCCATTTTAATTTCCATTTAGAGAGAGAGAGAGAGTAGCGAGAGAAACTCTTGTTCATTAATGTTTATGCTTACAAATTGATGATAGAGAGGTAGAATAAGCAACGTTTTACCTTTTGCTTGAGTTTTTGAAGAGTTTTCCCCCCTTGACTTCCCTAAATATTCATTTTAGCCAAATTGGGGATTTACATGAAATTGTGCAATTCTTGATTTAATATGGTTAATAAGAGGTCTAAGGAGATAGATATGACAGGAAAATGATTTCATATAAAATTTAGGAGAATTGATCTTGAGTTTTAGATTCTGGGCTTTTTGATTGACTACGTGATGTTGAAAAAGAAGGTAGACGCATGTTTCAAACCGATACAGAAGTTTAAGTGTTAATATTGGCTAAAGTAAGGAATTTGGAAAGTTTTGGATTCATAAAATAATTTCTCATTTTGATAATCCTAATTTTAGACCCTTAAAATTAAGGCGAGTAAAGTTGATCAAGATGGGAATGGTCTTGTAGCTTCAAATGACTGTCTCTGTCTATTGCTTATGAGCTTTCTGGATTGATTGTTTTCTCTGAATACGCGTTATAATTTCATCATTTTGCATCTTCTCATTCTTATTTTCTTGGAGAAGAATGAAAGTTGTTTCACCACCAGTTTGTGGGTTGGCCTAGTTTGTTGAAGCAGAGCATTTTCTCCGGAACTGACTCGCTTTTGTAACCCCCACTACTTAGGGAGCTGCTTGTGAAAGCAGCAAAAGAAAATGTTCTTTGATGTAAAGAAGAATCCTGCCTTAAGTCTGGAAAAAGTTGTTCTGTCTGGTTTTTATTTTGATCCTATGAATCTTTAAATTGGATCTTTTTACAATCATGGTGATACTGAAAAGAGTGTGATTCTTCTTCTTCTTTTTTCAATGACCATATATAATTGGATTTTGTAAATCTTTATGCAATCCCTTCCTGCCCTTTGTTTGATGGAAGTGATACAAGATTGAGGTAAATATGATAATATGATAATGTACTTAAACTAAGTAATCAAATCTATAATAGAGTCTGTCAGTAATGTTTCCAAAACAAAAATCCTGTTTCAATTTAGCCCGATTCTAAACAGCTTTTGTTTCTGCAAATATAGCAAGAAATATCTTACTTCTGCTCACTTTTCTTTGCAGAAAAATTTGATGATTAAATCATAAATTTTTAGTTGGAATGGAAGGTGATATATTTGGAGACATAGACAATACAGCTGTCCAAGTAGATGGCAGCATCATTCAGGCATTTCAGAAGAACTTGCTGCAAGCCCAAGACATTTTGGATCAAAACAGATTGCTAATCAATGAGATCAATCAAAATCACTTGTCAAACATGCCACAAAACCTGAGTAGAAATGTGGGTTTGATCAAAGAACTGAATAACAATATCAGAAGGGTGGTTGATCTCTATGCTGCTCTTTCCAGTTCTTGTTTGAAGTCTCGAGAAGCTTCTTCCGAAGGGGACTCCAGTGGGACTCTCAAATCTGATGGAAAAGTTAGTCAAAAGAGAATTAGAATCAACTAACACTTGTCAACTAAAGGGCGGTTAGTTGGTAAGAATGTGATTCCACGTCTCATAAAGCATGGATTGTTCAAGTCCCATTACCTATGTGAAGACTTTATTAATAATTAGTTAATAAGTAACTTTACAAATGCTTTTTAAATTATGATGCTAACCTGCCCTTGTTAGGTCCTTAAGATTTAGCACAAACTTTTGTTTAACCAAAAAAATAATAATAATAATAATAAGAAGCTGTTGGTGTGAATCTGAGCTATCATGTAAAAAAAGTAAGGCATACTTTGGTGTTGGATATGATTTTTTCCAGGGATCATCATATATTCGAAATCCTGTCTAAGATTCAGTTATTATTTTTCCGATAAATGGACGTCTGCTGCATGAACAGTTTTAGTTGCAAATATATTATTCATTTTACGAAATTTAAAGGCTGTCAACTTATTATTTCAAGTGTTTGTTTTACATTAAAAATATTTAAAGCTAAACAATTTACGTGTTGTACGTACCCAATCTATCCCTACGTCCGGGAGGAAGCCAGGCTTTGCTTGTTTATTTATAAAGCAGAAAAGGAGTGATCGTCCTTCAATGACTTTTGCTCTATTTATCTTGTATAAAAGTTTTACTATTTTAAAAATTCGAACTTCAGGAAAATAAAAACATATCCAGTTATCCACACTTCTCGGCGTTCGCTTCACAATTTCCAACTAGCCGTTGAGGTCATATTGATCATTGCGCGTTTTATTCAGTGTTTCGAGATAACTTCTCCACGTCAACACTTGCTAGGAATCCATCCGCCATCAGGAATCTTATCACTGCATCGGATTACTCTGTTCAATATCAACTTCACTTGCATTTGCAGTTAAAGAGAACAGTGTGGACAGTAATTTATCACCATAGATAGAATGAAAAAGTATTAGTATCATCACCCAAAAAAGAAACATGAAGAGTATTGTTCAATAAATAAAACTGTTACAACCTTTTAGTTTCGAGGTGTGAGAAGAGGGGATAAATAAGAACCCTGCCAAACTACGCGCTATCTCATCTTTGTCATCGATTTGAATCAAGCATGAGCACCGAAACTCTACTTACAGACACTTCTATTTTACAGTCATAAGAAGGGGTGAAACGCATAACCTATTAGTTCTGAGAACGTCCAGCCAGAAGGCCATAAATTGCTATTGAAGCACCCCCGTTCTATCTTTAACACCAGAACGTGAGATTCTATGGGGAAGGTCATGATCACCTCAATTGATGTCCATGTAAAGAGGGGAAATGGACATGTGGAGCTAACTTCAGCTTCCTCTCAAGGCTGCAATCCTTGCAGCCAAATCATCATAGTCCGGTAACTTGGGGTGTACGTGTCGAGCTTCATTTGATCTGTCTGCCTGAAATGTAGCAGCACGAGTAAATACTTTGTTGGCTTTTTCTGCTCCTGTTTCTTCACGAGGAAGGGAAATGGATCGAGGTGGAAGGGTAACCATCTCTGGCGTCTCTTCAACTGCGTCATCCATTTGATGTGCATGACGACTTTTGGACTTTCTTCTTGCTTTTTCAGGAAGAGGGATGGAAGGCTTTTTACTATAATGAATCAGTAACTTATCTATCATCTTTTCCTCTTCATCATTTCGATGCTGCTCACCATCAAAGAGAGTTTGCAGGCCATGTTGAGGTCTTGATTCATCCTTTGTCCTGCTCCTTGATTTTCTTGTCACAACTTCAGCATCTTCTGCACCGTCATCCTTGTGACTAGACCGTGATTTTGAGTGCTTCCGCCTCGTGGATTTTGGTTTTAAGACAGGGACTTCTGGCATATCTTCTTGATCATAGAGTTCTTTTTCATGACTCCTTCTGCCACGCCTTGCGTGTCTAGTGGTCTGCCTATCTGGTTCAGAATTATCCAAACTTAATTGGCTCCTCTCTGCTACAGCAGCAGCATGAGGCTGGTCATGCACTGAAGGATGCTTAGGGATGCCATCACTAACAACATTTGAAGATCCCATATTGACTTCGCATGCGCTGTTCTTCTGTTTAGAATTAGGTTTAACATAAGGTGGTGGGAGGGCATTATTGTAGCGGGGCTTGACCCTAGGTGTTTCGTCCTTTTGAACTTTCCCCTGCGAGTCATAAAAGTCAGGTGGGCCAGCACGACTGACAGTAGATGGTTCATTGACATTCCTCTTCAAACGCATTTCTGCATGACTGGGATTCAAGTCTAGCTTCTTGGCAGCTACAGTATCATGTAGGTTGACGCGATTAGCAGTAGATGGCTCATTGACATCCCTCTTCAAATGCATTTCCGCGTGACTGGGATTCAAGTCTGACTTCTTGGCCACTACAGTATCATGGCTTACTTTTTGAGAAGCGGCATCGCCCAAACCATCATGCCGCTTAGTGCCAACATCTATGTGTTCCACTCTTTTACCCTGCAATGAACAACCTGGTCCATTTGGATCTAACATAAAATCTTCTTTCCAATAACCTCTATTACTCTTCTTGGTAGCAGAGTCTAGCCTTCCCAGCAATCTATTGTCATGGCCATTCCTTCTCGAAATGACATCATTTCCACCATTTGTCTCCCCAACTCCATGTCTAGGGAGTTTGGATTCAGACCGAATATTATGATCATCACTCACTAAAATATCTGCTTCCTGGCGGTTGTGAAATCTATGCCCATCTTTAAGACGGCCAGGACTTTTCTGCAATGGAACATCACCCTTGAATCCTTTTATGACAGCATTGTTCCCAAGTGATGGCTTATTATGATCAGTCAAGCGGCTATAGTTATAATTATTGCCATCCTGCAGAAGTCATATATAAGAAGTCATTCCACTTTGAGAAACATTCTCCAACAGGTTTAGAACCTAATAAGAGAGAAACAATGTACAAAAGGGTAATTTTACTTGGAGCAGGTTAAAATTGGCAAAACACCGTTTAATAAGGAAGCTAAGTTCCTCATATAATTGAAAAGAAATGCTGAAAACAGCACCTGTACAAGAGGAGAGGGTTTCTGCATCCTCTGTTCAAAAGTCTTGGAGTCCCACATTATTGAAAACTCTGAAGCAATCTCCTGCATCAGGCGGACCTTCTTCTCCAATGTAAAAGGCCTTGAGTTCGCATTTTTAGCAAACTGTAAACAAGCAATTTAGCCCGTCATTTCAGGAACAGGTCAGGGATATGTAAAATTCACACAAAGATACAAGCATAATGAGTGACCTCTTGATTCACATAACATTCCATGGAATTCCCATATCTCTCCTGGAATATCTGCCTAAGATCACGTAACTCTGGTAGATCAGAAAATCTTGCAGCAGCAAACATCAAAGACGATACAGCATCCCTGCATTCCTCAGGGCATCCACTGTAAAAGAAATTGAAGCAATTAAAGTTCATGAATATCCCAACTTGACACGGGAGGATATCAGGACAAGATTGAAATCGCTGCTCAAATGCAATCACATGCGAGCATTTATCACACTCAACTGCAAACACATTGGCCAAGACACAACTTTTATAAATAAAATACCTCCTCCCTCACCACTAAGTTGATTCTAAGATAGACCGAATGCTCACAGCTAGCTAGAAATAAGTTTAATCTATCAATCCACACATTTATATGTAGCAGTGAGGGCCACAAAGGCTGTCAGAAATCATGACTGAATGTCAGTCAGATATTCTGATGTTCACGCAAGGAGGAAAATGATGATATTGATGAGTGAAGTTTTAAAAGAAAACAAGAACAAACACTTAGCTAGGAACAAATAGAGAGGAAAGGACTCCCAGTGTGATGTGTGAACAACTTAAACTGCTGATGCTGATACATTTGTTTCATTCAAAAAGTTAACCGATTAAAAATGTGACAGGGCATATCGATATTGAACTTCATATAAGAAATCTCATGTCCATCTGTATCCATGTAGATCAGTGGTTCGGTTGTGCCTTTGTCCAAGAGCCATACCGTTACTCTACATGGAAGGCTGTTTTAGAGTACGAGGAATAATAAACCCAACAAGTCCAGCAGATTGACATGACTGGGCATCATTCTCTTCTTTTTTTTTGGCCAAGCAAACGAAATGAAATTAATGTTTAAGCAGGAATCACAGGAAAGGATTCATACCTCAGTTTCTGCATCACTGAGAGGTGTTTCAAGACAAAGTCACACGATTGCTCAACGAAATCATAACAAGATGATAGTGTCAATTCAGCAAGCAGCCCTTCAGCCTGTTTCAGAACCTCACAAGAAAGACAAGACTTTCAGAAAGTATTATAGGACATAAAAAGCAGTTGTGGATAGGGTTAATTAGAAAGTCTCTGAGATGCTTGATAATTGATAATAAATAAAGAGAAGAGACAGATAGTCATCATTCAGATACCCATGGAAAATCACGACAAAAATGCGGGGGAGAAGCAGTTCTCAGATAGGAAGCTGTCACTCCAAAGAATAAGTCATTGCCCACACACAATCAATTTAAACCGGTCATGACACTATTTCACAAGGACACTTCAGATTTTATCATGTCAGGGTGCTGGAATCCTTGTCATGTTTGTCGGCGCTTCTTAGGTTGTTCCACTAGGTTCCTTTTTGTACTTTTACCTCTGCTTCTATATTAATTAATTTGTTTGACAAACCTAGGATATTACCCGAGAGTGAAAATTGCACTTTCCAATTACCAGCAGAGCAGCAAATACAAAACATATACATGCTCGGCACCAACCACACAAATAACCAGAAATACTCGAAAGTATTCATTCCAGCCTTCAAGCAACCGGAGAATCAAACAAAACCCAGACCATAAGTAACATGAACAAATAAAGCAATTACCCTTCCGTGTGCATTGACGTCTAAATCATTGGCTAGCAGATCAGCAATGTCTTTCTTCAGAAACTTCTCAGTCGCCTTTCGCTTCCTTCTTATCACATCGATCCGACTCTTGGTCAGCTTGATCAGCGCTTTGCTGCGAAAATATAAAAGGAAACCCAAACACAAATGAACACATTCTCACATTTTTCTCAAATACTTCATGATCAACAACCGAATCGAATCAAAACAGAGCAGAGACACAGCAACAAGGTGAGAGAACTAACCACTTAGCGGCAAAACCTCGACCAAGCAGGCCGTCCAACATGTTGGATCTCAGACAGCAGTCAACGCGGCAGCTCGACTCCGCAAACTAATCAACTCAGAACATGCGGTTCCCCTTGGATCAATCCAGGCAAGAGAAAACAATAGCACAGAACTCAACCAAGAAGATGAACAAGAATAAGGAGAGAGCAATTAAATTCGGAAAGAGCAAAAAGGCTTGAGTGAGTCTGACGCAGTGACAATTCATATTTTAAACTTACGATAATGACCTTTGGCTTTTGCCGTCAGGACCCAAGTGGGGTCAACGTCGATGAGACCCCCCATGTGAACGTTAGGAAGGATATTTTAGGGATATAAAATAGAAGGGTTGTTATCGCTTAAGGATAAGAATGTAAATGTGGATCAAAAGGAGTGACATTTACCGCTAGATTCGATTACTCTTTTTGAAGTCTAAGAAGGTAGCGGACGGTCACGATTTAAAGTCATTAATTTTCATCTTCTTTGGGCGGGGAATCTTTTCGGCGCGTGCTCCACGGAATAGCGTCCTCAGCTGTTCTACGGGTGTCAAAACTCGACCATCCTGTTTTTTAGCACAAGGGAAAAAAACAGAGATCACGGAGACGTTAATTCCGTTTATTAATTACGAATAGGAACGTATTAATTATGACAATTATTTGTGGACATCTATAAAAATGGAAGAAAGAATGCGCTTGAAATGCATAATTTATAACCATGAGATGAGGAAAAGTAAAGGAAGGTTATGATCACCTTCAATAATAATGTTGGTGATCGTGATTCGCGATTAATTTTGTGCTGGTGATTTGACCTTTATGTTTAAAAAAGTGGGGGGAAAAAAGAAGATGGGAGTGTTGCTTCTGTGACGAGCTTCATCCTTAAACAAATGAGTCAACCAAGACTTAATATTATCACTCTGAGCTCAACTTCAATAATGCAACCAATAAAGGCGCAGGAGTTACGTGTTTGCCTCTACTGTTTAAACAATAATCATCGTGTCCTTGAATGATGGAAATTACATTAAAATATATACATATATATTTAGGTTTTTTTTTTAAAAAATACCTCTTAATATAAAAGATAGTTTGACTTTCAATTTAATCATAAATATAAATTCTCAATCTATTTTGTCTCTCATAGTTATTTATTTATTTTCTAAGATAATTTTATAATAATTATATATGTTAAAAATTTGATCAAATAGTAGTTTCAACTAATACGTATGATGAGTAAGAATATTGTAAAAAAAAAACAATACATATTTATTACAAATAACTAATTTAATTAATTTTTTTATTTTATTTAGATTATTCAACAAGCTTTTATATTGAGTACTGAATGCACCGTGTGTACATATTTGTTGAAATTTGAGGAAGTAGATATAACTTTAAATCCGTATAGCGAATATCACATGACTGAGTGGAAGAATTGATCATCCGTCCAGTTGTGTCCACCCCATCCAGCAGTTGCGTGTCCAAAGAATCAACATTTAATTGGAAGTCATCGGCTTTGTTTTCTTCCTCCCCATCCTGAAAAGAAACGGCACCAACAAAACAATTCAATTTAATTCAAACTATTTAAATACTTGATAGCACTCATTTAAATTTCATTGCATTTGATAGTTTAATTTGATTTCTCTGATTTTCATATGAATTTGAAATAATAACAACAATAATAATAGAGGACTTCAAGCATTTATATTTTTGTGCTACGAGGAAGAGGAAAAAAAAAAGGCGAATTTGGGGATCAACAAAGTGTGGCTAGCCGAAATGAAAGTAATGCAGGCACGTTGGCTGGTTGTGATGGGGACGGCGAAGGGAAACATAATTAAGTTTAGCCTGGCCTATTGTTTGCTTTTTGTCCCAGTCTGTAATCCTCTTCCGTGCTTAATATAGAACTTAATTATTGAGTTAGTTTTAGTCCTAAATATAAGACCTATTTCTGATATTTATCAATTGTCTCTAAGTTACTCCTATGGATACTCCCTCAATTATAAATCAAGTAGAAAAATGAGAGGCGGTATTAAGAAATATGATTATGATGTTTTAAGAAAAACGTGTTACATTTTTTATAATTAACTAACTTACTTAACTTCTTTAATCTAATCAAATTATTAAATAGGTCTTATATTAAGGATCAGAAGTGTATAAACATACATCTTCGGACTTGTTCTAAATCCCAACTTGGTGCCGTATGGTTTGAGGCAAGTATATTTCTTGCCTTTTAAATTCTTTTGTTGGAGTATAAATGGGATAAAAACAAATTATTACCAAACAAGTGCGAATACTCGTTACCAAATACATGTTGGACACAGTCAAGATTATGACGTGTTTGTGTTTGTGTGTGAGTTTGATTGGTAGTAATCAGATATATATAAACACACTAAAAATAATTCGTTTCAGGAATTCCAAATATATATATTGTTTTTTTCTTGAAAGGGCTTCCAGCTTGAAAATTCTTCCATATGACAAATTGATGGTGGTTAGGTCCAATATAAAAGTTTATTGACTAATATGAGTAGATTAAGAAAATAAATTAAGTTAATTATTTATAATAAATAGATATTTTTTCCTAGATTAGTTTATTGGCTAGAACTATGATTATTAGAAAGATTATATTAAAAATAAATAAATAAATATGAGGGTAAAATAGATTGGGTCTTATATTAGGACCAAAATAAAAATCAAACTGGATCTTATATTAAGGATCAAAAGTAGTATATAATTAGGCTTTTAAAAGAAAAAAAAAACGTGTCTCCATTAAAAG